ACAACCAGGTGCAACCCGCAAGATTTCAGACAGAGGAGTGAAAAGAATTATCAGAAGAGTTGTCCAAGAGCCAAGCACCACTTGTGGAGAACTACAGAAAGACCTGGAATCAGCAGGTACAACTGTTTCAAAGAAAACAATAAGTAATGCACTGAACCGCCATCGCCTGTATGCACGCTCTCCACACAAGACTCCGTTGCTGAAGAAACAGCATGTTGAAGTGCGTTTAAAGTTTGCCCAACAACATTTAGACAAGCCTGTGGAGTACTGGGAGAATATGGTCTGGGCAGATGAGACCAAAATTGAACTCTTTGGATGCCGTAATACACACCATGTTTGGAGGTCAAAAGGCACTGCATATCACCCCAAAAACACCATCCCAACAGTGATGTTTGGAGGTGGGAACATCATGGTGTGGGGCTGTTTTTCAGCATACGGCACTGGGACGCTTCATATAATTGAAGGAAAGATGAATGGACAAATGCACCGAGACATTCTTGATAAAAATCTGGATTTGAAGAGTGTTTGTGTGGAAGAATGGGCCAAGATCACACCTGAGCAATGCATGCGACTAGTTTCTCCATACAGGAGGCGTCTTGAAGCTTCATCACCAACAAAGGCTTTTGTACGAAGTAATAAATACATTTCAGTAAACGTGTTCAATACTTTTTCCCTGTGTCATTTCTCATTATTACACATAACTTCATTTATGGACATCTATGGTTTGATTTCTTTGCATGTGTGGATTGGATGGGTGGTTACCGACATCTGGTGAGAATTTCGTGTCAACAGCACCTTTAGAAATATATTTACGTAGAAAATTGGTGACGTGTTCAATACTTATTTCACCCGCTGTGTGTTATCCCTACATGATGCTGAGAATCTACTGTATGCTTTTATAATGTTTACTATTGTAACGTGGTGTTAGTTGGCTGTCCTGCGATTTCTTTAAATAAGCTGCAGCTCACTTTCTTACCAGAAGGAGAAACTCATTACTCCAGTTTTATTCAGCTTACATTGACTGTCTTGTATCTTGTATCCAGTGCAAAATCCTGCTAATGAGGTTATAAAGCCCCACAGTGCTTACCTGCAGGATGTCTTACAGAATGTTTAAACATGCTCTTCATTCAGTGAAAGTAGGTTTATTGTTAATCCCTCGCTTTTCAGTGGGTGGTAGATGTTGTTCTTTTGTAGGTCTTGAAGTCTGAAATAGAGTTTCAGTAGATATTAAGAATGCAATCCAAATAAAATGTTTTCAAATATATATTAAGGACTTGTGTTTAAACTGGCTTATTCAAATTCCATACAATTAAATGTACTATGTGACTTTTAATAAAGTGTATTTTCCTTAATTTGTTTTTTATTCTGGAGCTTATTTTTATTATTTATTTTAAAATTATCATTTTAGCATTTATTTTATAAATATATTATACCATAATTCTCTGATAGCTCGTCTAATTTAAAATTTTACACATTCAGTTTGTTTTACTATTTCATCTTCTGACATGTTGTTTATGATTGTAAATGGGGCCCTGGCCATTTAAAGGGTTAAACACAATTTTATTCATGCTGACCAACATGGCACTATAATAACACGATAATAATACAATAATAAAGATTAGACATGAGGCGCAAAAAGGAAGGAAAAAGGGGAAGAGGACATCCCAACGTTAACTGCCCAGCCCAAATACAGGCTGTATTATGGAGATGAATTTTGTGTCATTATAACAGTGAAGCTTATTTAGATTTTTAACTCTGTTAGAAGGGCAAAAGGGTAAGATCTGAATCTTAACATGACAGGGAGGGGAATTTTCTGCAAGTTTTAGATCGGAAGTTGGTGGCAGTTATTAATAATGTGCCACTGTAGCTCAGAAAAGGGAAGGAAATTAGAGCTGTGTTTCAGTAGAACACACCCATACTGTATCCTGCCTTCCACCCAATGACAGCTAGGATAGGCTCCAGCACCCCACCGCGACCCAGAAGGATAAGCGGTTTAGATGATGTATGTATGTACACCCATACTGAACCCCCTCACACACGTCATGATCACAGACTCTCCCAGCTCACTTTGACTAAATGAGAAAAGTGTAAAAGTCTTCAACAGAAAAGTGAGTCAGATGTTCTTCATCAGAAATGCAATCTGTATTAATACATATTTTGATGCTAAACTTTGTTCAGTGACGTCTGTATCTGCTCACTTCTGAACCTGAGCTGAGGTCAGAAAGATGTGATTCCACTGCGTAATCACAACCATGAAAAAGGCAAGTCGTCTAAAAGCACAACACTTTGTGAGGAGCTTTCCATACAGAACTGTCCACTTCTTAAAGTCTCTCTGTATTCGTCTCAGTCTCTGTATGTTTGGTGTCTCAGGATAGACCCCTATAAACAGCAGTGCTGTAGGGTTTGTCTCAAAGAACTGGGAATGTTCCAGGTGGGTGGCTATGGAAGTCCAGAGAGGCCATGAAGTAGTTGTAATTTTCTGGATTGTCATTTTGACATAACAAGTTAATTATCTTGTCTTTTTTGATACACATTTGCAACACTATTAGAACCGCATTCTTTCACTTGCATAACATCATTAAACTGTGTAATATTCCAGCCCTAAACGATGCGGAAAAACTTGTGCATGCATTTATAACCTCCAGGCTGGACTACTATAACACCGTTTTAGCTGGACGGTCCAACACTTTAATAAATAAGCTCCAACTGGTCCAGAGTGCAGCTGCTAGAGTCTTACAAGGACCAAAAAATTTGACCATACATTCCCAATCCTGTCATTACACTGGCTACCTGTTAAACTTGGTGTAGAGTATAAGATCCTCCTCTTAACGTATAAATCATTAAATGGCCCCTTAGTGAATCTTATCTTAGTGAATTAATTCAGTCATATGAACTCAGACGTACACTCCGCTGACAGAATACCGGCCTGCTGACGGTTCCTAGAATTAGAAAAACCACAGCAGGGGGTCGAGCTTTTTCCTACGTAGCCCCTAAATTGTGGAATCATCTCCCGACCTCTGTTCGGGACTCAGACTCACTCTCTGCACTTAAAACTAGACTCAAAACTGAACTGTTTGCACAAACATTCTGCTAATATCAGTTGTAGCACTATTAATTCACTAATATCTCTCCATAAACGGACCTGTCCTGTTAATCAATCTGTCTCTCTCTCTCTGTTTATTTGAGCCCCTGAGCGACGTCTGCCTGAGTCGCCACATTGGAGCCACCAGAGCTTCTAGAGCCACCAGAGCTCCATCTCTGCTGGCTAATCTGCTCCTCACCTGCATGAACTGACCAACCTGCTGCGGCTGCATAAACTATCTAATTAACCATTGCTCCACCTGTTTTTCCCGTTTTGTATTGTAATATTTTATACTAACGCTGTTTGCTATCTGGTGTTGACCAGAGGAGGATGGGTTCCCCTTCTGAGTCTTGGTTCCTCTCAAGGTTTCTTCCTCTTGCTCTTAGGGAGTTTTTCCTTGCCACTGTCGCCATTGGCGATGCTCATGGGGGCTCGGACCCGGATTTTTCTGTAAAGCTGCTTTGTGACAGCACCTGCTGTAAAAAGCATTACATAAACTTTGACTTGACTTAATTATCTTGTGATCGCAAGAGAATATAGTCATTGTCTTGAGATAATGAGTTAATTGTCTTGTTATCTCAAGATAACAAAGTTGTCGTCTAGAGATAATGAGTTAATTATTTTCTCTGATCTTCAGATAAAAGTTGTCATGAGATACTGAGTTAGTTATCTTGGAATTTCAAGATGACAACTTTGCTATCTTGAGATCAAGTCATAGGCAGCTGTTGGTGGTGGCAAGCTTTTTTTTTTCCTAGAACTGAGTCTGGAAAAACCATAACATGTAGCAGACCAGATAAAAAAAGATGAGAATTGTTTGAGGGCTACACATATTTTGAACCTACATACGCATTAAAATGGACTATGGAAAGTTCAGTGGACATATGAGGTAATAGATGAAGTAATAGTGGCTTAAAAAAGACAGAGAGCAACATCATAATTATCTTTAAAGGCCATGTTTTCTTCTGACTGGACATCGGCTTCAGTTATTCAATTTAAACTTCTGTTTCTTTTGCCCAAATCAGAACAGGCTTAGATGAAAGTGTAGCTTAGAATGAAGTCTGTTCAAAGTTACCTGTTTTTGTTTTATGTTTGCATAAAATATTAATTATGCATTAAAACCCTTTGAAAAGGTCATCTCAGGTGGAACCATAAGCTTCAATCTGGAATCCTATCACTGATCATCCTGCTGAATTTTAGAGGTAGGGTTATTCTGATTCTACTGAGCTGCTATTAGTAGTGCAGCTCTTTTTAGAAATATGCAGAGTTGTGATTTATCTGCTGCTGGTTGCTGTGATGTGATCAGCAGTGGGTCAATCGTGGAAAGACAATGTCTGAATATACATATCTGCACTGAGATTTCTTTGGTGGAGCTCTTAAAGATGAAAGAAATGAATGTTCTCTCTAATTCAATGCCCGGCAAATTGTTCTGCACAGTAACCAAACCAAAGACTTTCTTCATCAGAACTAGAATCTAGGGGTTGATTATGTAACATACAAATCTCCCACCTTCCTGTTTCAGCAAAGCATTATGGGTTGTGCAATCGTCACTTAATAGGACACTGTGAAAAAGAAATGTTGGGTCAAGTTAAGGTCAACTGTCTTTTTTCAGTGAATTTAACTCATATTTATGATTTCCTTTTGCCTCAAGTTGAGTTAATTAAAAATATATTAAGTTGACAACTTAAAATTTAAGTTGCCCGACTTTGTTTAGACATTGTTTACTGCTTATCATTAGACACACATCTTTAATACAATATTTTTAAACATCTATAACATTTACAGTTTAAATGATATACAAGTTAACAATGTTTGATTAAGTATAAAACAGCAGTGAATGAAGGAAAGACCTTCTGTTTCCACTGAACCGCATAGAAAAGGGAAGGAAGCTGGATCGCAATCGCTCATTATCGCACAACCTGCACCCACACACTCCTCACAGCTCAGTTCACCTCAACTAGAAAAGAGTGAAAAGTCTTCATTACAGAATGTAAGTAAGATTTTCTTTACTAGAGCTGTTCTGTATACAAACTGTCTAAAACTGTGAGGAATATAATGATGAGTCTAAATACAGTTACATTTACAAAGTTGAGCACTGCAGTTCGTGTGTGTGTCAGTTCACAGGTTTTTTATAAACCTGATCTGAGCTCAGCAAGATTTACTGTGAGTTACTTTTGTATTTATTAATGTGTAATTACAACACAATAGCATGCTTCTTTTCCAGAACTGTTCTGTATGCAATTTTTTAAACTGTGAGGAATATAACTATCAAAATACAGTTAAATGTAAAAGTTTGGGCACTGCAGTTAGTGTGTGTGTGTGTGTGTGTGTGTGTGTGTGTGTGGTCAGTTCACTTTATAAACCTGATCTGAGCTCAGTAAGTTAGCACATTTACTGTGAGCTATCTTTATAACTATTACTGTGATAATTACAACACAATAGTAAACTGTCTGAAGAAACAACACTGAGAAATGAAAGATTTTGGATGAGAAAAAAAACTTCACTAATAATGTTCCATTAAGGTGATAAAGGATTACAACAAACTGTGCCCAAATATTTCCATTTGCCTGCTTTATTACATGCAATTTATGTTTATATTGTGTAAATTAAAATGATAATTATTCAGTAAACCTGCAGAAAGAGCTCATTCAAAGCTAGTTAATTTTCTGTTTCTGCTAATATCAGGTCAGGTGGAACCATGAGCTTCACACGTGGAATCCTATCACTGACCATCCTGCTGAACATTCTAGGTAGGATTCTGATTTTACTGAGCAGCTGACTTTAACCCAGTGGGTAAATTTCATAACCAGGATGTATTTTGAGTGAAGATTAAGACCTGATTTGAGAGACTGTGGGTGGATGGGTATGAACTATTGAAGAGTTTGGGTTTATAAGCCAAGGTCAGAGGTGGACAAGTAACACATGGATACAGCATGTAACTACATCTTAGTCTCTACTAATAAAAGTATTAAAACAAAAAAAAAAACACTTCCCACACAGAACTGTCCATTTCTTATTAGTCTCTCTCTGATGACTGCTCTGCTGGGGGGATGGGACTGGGAAAGTTCCAAGTGGGTTGGTGATGGTGTTGGTAAGTTTCTTTCCTACAACTGGGGCTGGAAAAAACAATGTTTGCCAGATCTGACAAAAAAACGATGAGAATTATTTGAGGGTTACACATTTTTTGAACCTATATATGCACCAAACTAGACTGTTGATCAGCAACAATAGAAAAAAAAGCAAATTGGAAGTGATGGGAAACTTTGGCAATATGTAAAGAACTGTCTGTAACTATGAATATGCTAATGTTGGACCTGACAGATGGGATAGGCTCCGGCACCCCCCACGACCCAGAAGGAGAAGCGGCTTAGAAGATGCCAAGCACCAAGTAAAAAAATAAATAAATAAATAAATAATAATTAAAAAAAAACAAACAAAAAAAAAACACACAACAACACACACACACGATATTAAAAACAGGGAACTAACATGGATATAATTGTTGAGAATGACTTGCCACACAATATAAATGTAAACTATTGATAGCCAGTGTCCCAATCAACAGTCTCTTTAGACAGAGACAGAAGAGTTTAATCAACACGAAAGGCAGCAGTTATGGAGTTTTACTGCCAACTGTAGAAATAACCTGATTAAAATCAGAGTTACACTTCTGAAAGCTGTGAGCTTTGTTGATTTCTGGGATTCCCACAGACTCAGGGTTTCATACTGTTTCAGTTTCAGGTTCTTTGGGTGAGACTCTGAGAGTGACCTGCAGTCCTCAGACTATCTGTGCTCTACGGGAATCAACAGTGAACCTGGATTGCTTTTACTCAAACTCCAACATCAAACCTCAGCACAGCTTCTGGTTCAGCCCCAAACAAAAAGCTAAATGGAGGAACGAGGAAGATCCAGAGGATTTAGCTTTAGACTCAGACTACGCAGGACGAGTGAGTTATGATAAGACTACAACATACAGTTACAGCTATGATACTCTTACAATAACAGACCTGAGAGAGAGAGACTCAGGAGAATATCACCTCATGATCATTAAAGAAACAGGACAGAATTATTCCAGCTCAACAGCAGTTACTCTAACAGTTTCAGGTAATACAGCTCAACTACTGTGATCTGTTCCATCACTTTCATCAGTTTTATTTAATAATGAAGAAATTTGTGTACAAGATATTTGCTGGAATATTTATTTATTTTTTTCCACTCAGATCTGCAGATGAAAACTGCTGACACTGAAAAACAGACAGCACGGACACTGAACTGTAGCACTTCCTGCAGACTGAGCTCTGTTCCTGCTCATTACAGATGGTACAACAATGGGAAATATGTGTCCTGGACAAACTCACATAATACAATTTTGGATTTACAAAGGAGGGCTAGTCCTGGCAGCTACTCCTGCTCTGTTAGCAGCCATACTGAAATCTATTCTAATACCGTGTGTGAGTAAGAACACTGTTAATAACTAATTATTTATGTGGCAATAAAACCAAAAAAGTGATAATCTTTTACTTTTACAGGTGTTTTTGATAAGAACTGCTGGAGTGTAACCTACTCAGACAGAAGAGTCTGTGCTTTGGAGGGTTCATCAGTGGATTTTCCCTGCACTTACTCATATCCCAGAGATCAGACAGTTACTGAAACATTCTGGTATAACTTTGGGTTAACAGATCTGAGTGTGAAAAAGCAGTTTGCTGGTCGAGTGGAGTTTCTTGGAGATAAAGAGAGAAGCTGCACTCTGAGAATGAACAATCTGACTAAGAGTGACTCTGGAGAATATCGCTTTAGATTAATCACAGATACTGCAGGAGGGAGTTTCTCTGGTTATCCTGGAGTCATTCTGAGTGTTACAGGTACGTGTCCACACCCAACTGTAACTGAGGTTCTTCCTATTCACAATGTTGAATATGACATAATATTAAAATGGCTATACTTTCTATTTCTTTGCATGTTCAGATCTTCAGGTGAAAGTGAGTCCCTCCACTCCATCAGAAGGACAGACAGTAACACTGACCTGTATCTCCACCTGCACTCTGACCCAACAACCCCACTTACATCTGGTACAAGAACGGACAGCCTGTAACTAATAAACTCACCAGACACAACAAGCTCTACCTGGAGTCAGCAAACACTGAGGATGTTCTCCAGTATTCTTGTGCTTTAGGAGGTAACAGTTCTATAAAGGCCTAACATGTTCTCAGAAATAAGACTTTACCTACACCATCATAATAGTAATGAGAAATGCAGGCTATTTCAGATTTAATTCTATGTTCTTGATTTACATGAGCATTTTAGCCATCCAAAGTATAAAATCAGTCAATCCATGCATTATTTTATAGCAACTGTTGAGGATGAGCATGCTTTATAGAATGTTTCTTAATTATAAATTGTAGTTTATAGAAATTGGAAAATGTTTCTTTATGAAAAAAAGTAGTATTCAGCTTAGTTTTCATCAAATTTTGGACATTTGTCATGACAATTTCAAATATTTATATGTGAAAGGTCACACTCTTAGGGTAGATCAAGTGTAGACTTTTTGTTGCGCTAAAAATAGCATGCTTGCAAATGTGTCATCACTTCATGCCTAATTTTGATTTATAATGCATTTTTCTTTAACCAAAAGCAACACAAACACAATGGGAAAAAAGTGTAGTACAATATATATAACATATATCAATAAAACATATATATTTTTTCTGGCTGTAATTGTTCATGTAGTTTATGCTTTATTTCACAAGGTACTGAAGCTCCCAAACATACTGAAGATCCAGAGGATCTCACAGTGTTGAAGTTCATCACAATTGGTGCAGCAGTCTTTCTGGTTTTATTTCTCATCATAGGATGGATTTGGAGGAGGTTTGTGACCTGTAAACATTATCACATTTAACATTTATTAAACAAATGCTAAGTGTTTTTTTTTTTCAGAAGGAGGAAATCCAGTCCAGGTAAAGAGCACAGAAGCACTGAGGAGAGTGGACAGGTGAGCATGTTATAGAGGAGGAACTGTATGAACTACAGTAATGAAAGCCTTTTAAAATGTTGTATATGTATGTAAAATGTATAGTATTTCTCTTGAGATTGTTGTAAGAACATCTTTACATCATTCAATCAATTTCTATCTAGATTATCTAAACAAGTAAAATTATCTAACTGCACTGGCAGAATATTTGAATTCCTTCAAGCATTATTTATTAAAACAAACATATTTATAACACCTAGCACCTCTTTCCCTCCTGTAATACCAGGCCTTCTTGAGCTGACTTTGTTGTACATTTGCCTTCACCATCCTCCACATTTGCTTGGGGCACTTAATTGTACAATGGATTGTTCAGGATTAGAAGCATGCTTGAAAAGACTGCCCAGAGGTGCTTTGAGCATTCTGCTAAGAGCAAGTTCAGCCAGAGTGAATCCTGTACTCTTGTGGCCTGCTGAACTAATGGCAAACATTAATTCTGGTCACCACTTATCTGACATCCAGTGTTTATTCTGAACACATGAAACTAGAATATCTTCTTCTGTATTCTAAGCACAGAGAAAAATCTGCAAGGTAGATATAAAACCAAAAGTACCAAAAAATCTCAAAAGTTTAAATGCACACAAACTGACAAAAAAAAAATCTCTTTTAGAAGTGTAGAATCTTGAAGGATGTGGCTTTAAAGTGAAGTGGGAAATGAAAAGTCACTACATTCTTTACACTTAAAGTCCAAAAAAAAGGAAAAAAAAGTCTTTCAGCAAAAACAGTTTTGAGTATATCTAACAGAAAGAAAACATACACTGCCAGTATTAGCACTAGAATTTGATTAAACAAACTCTATAGCACATACTTTGCACAAAGTACAAAGGCACACTTTAACCACACAATTAAGGTAAGAAAGGGGAAGCACAGTTCCTTAAAGGACTGTGGACAAGTTGAGCAATTTGGATTTGCAAGCTGTTGTAGATGTCAAAACAGTGTGAATGGTGTGAAATATTTCACCACCATTTAACAGCGTATTACAAAAGCGTTAGATACAGTTACTCCTCATAAAGGCCTGAATGTACTAAAACCACACTGCCTCATTATTAATTCTGAACCTTGAAAATTCTGGAATAGAGGTAAACTCATTACATAACCCCTATCCCATCAGAAGGCATTACTGGGCCTTAATAACTTCAGGTGTTCTGTACATGGATTATGCATTACATCTGGTGAGTGTATCCTGTAATTTGCTGTGCTTAGTTGTTGCATGAATTTGGCCGGACCTTTCCATTTGGCAGATAGGCTGGAAGAAGCCTCAGCATCAGCCTGAGCCATAGGATGATCATAAGCTCACACTAGTGCTCCTGCCTTGTACCCTTCCAAAGGCAGGTGCTGTAATATGAGGCCTACTTGAGCTGACTTTGTTGCACATTGCTTGGGGCACTAAATTGTACAAGAGACGAGGACAGGAGCATGCTTGAAAAGACTGCCCAGAGGTCATTTGAGCTTTCTACTAAGAGCAAGTTCAGCCAGGGTGAATCCTGCTGAACTAACGGCAAACATGAATTCTGGTAACCACTTATTCCACATACAGTGCTTATTCTGAACACAAATGCACTGTTTTGACTTTTAATCCAGATGGCACATGTAACCGGGTTGTTTGGATATTCTTGGCTTGTGTTTCATGCAATCCTGGCATTGTTTGCAGTACTCTCAGACCTATTTTCTGGTGGTAGTCAATATGTCATGTTGGGTATTCTGGTCAGGATTTTCCTTTTGATTAGATTTTTACTGAAATGGTTGCCTTGAGCATATTAAGAATGGCAGGTTGTAGACTTGAAGGGATAACTAGTTGGTCCTACCGGTCTTGAAGTCTTTAAAAGAGAAAGCCAATCTGGAGCACAAAAGTTGTCAGGCTGACTTATCTTTGCTTGTTTACAAGTGCTGATATCTTCCGATGATACTGGGAGTTGCACTGTAGGTGGAGAAGATAAATACATCACAAGAAGACCTACTGGGTGAAACAGTGCAACTAGGACTACATACTTGGCCTTTGCAGTACATTAACTTGATTTTAAGGCTTAACTTTATAACCCACATGATCAGGCATGACTGTCTTGATGCATGGAAAACCCAGGTGAGAACATTGTGATCAATGACCATGGAGAACCAGGTACTGCGTCCCCTTCTAAGTTGTCCAAACCACTGACAAGCACTATCTTGGATACTGAATATGCTCATTCTATAGGGCTAAGCAATTGAGAAGCATTACCATTTTAATTGTCTATACAACAAAGAGTTTAAAAAGTCAGAGGTTAACAAGATTGGTGAAAACTGAAAGGTTGTCTTGTGATCTATAAATGCATAATGACACCCAGCCCCAAATGATTGTCTCCAAGAAGAGATGCTGCTCACTGGGAAATCTGTGGAATGATAATACCATCATGCTGAGTAACTACTGAACCTCTTTGATAGACTTTGGCTCAGGATTGTCTTGGATGGCCTGAATTTTGTCCAAATCAATCTGGATACCAGGCACATCATATCATAAAAATTTCAGTGACCACTGAACAAAGTTTTACCTTTTGAGATTGAAGGTACGTCCAGCTTGCTGTAACCTAGAGAATACTGCACTGAGATGGCTAAGATGAAATTCTGGGAGGTATATCACAACGCCATCTGAGCAGACAAAGATGCACTGTCCTTTTAGGTCCTGTAACACGTTTTTCTCCAGGTGCTGAAAAGTAGCTGGAGCATTCATTATTACAAAAGGAAACTGTGTAAATGCATACAGTCCTCAACATGTAAAGAAAAGCAGTCTTTAATATGATGCCTTCATCCAAACCCATTTGCCAACCACCAACTTTCGGGTCTAGGGTACTGAAAATCTGAGTGGGGGAAAGGCATCTAAGGGCATCTTGGCATTTAACAAACGGGATTCAACAAATGTCAAATTGTGTCAAATTGACACCTTTCTTGGATGCCTATGACCCAAGGAGGAACAGAAGGTCTTGTGATTTTTTTCTCACCAGCATGCCATCTATTTCTTGGGAAATACATTTATATTTCTCCAGCAATATCCCATACCCAAGTTGTGTTAATTTAATGTTTAGTACTGCAGTGTTATGCTAACCATACACTAGAAGACTTTGAAAAGACTAAAGTCTGACACCCTCTCAGTTCACTGTAGAGCTGTATATTCTTGCAGATCATCACCCAGAATTTTAATTAACCTGTAAAAATGTGCAGCTACCTTTACATTTGACAAACAGATCAACAAATGTGATTCGGCATTGTTGATTGGGTGTTATGAACTAGACCATAAAAAACAAACAAAAAAAATAAGAAACCACTAACAGAAACCAAAAAAAGGAAAGAAAACATTGATTCTTCAATAATGGCATTCTTAAAGTCCTCTGCACATTTCCTCATCACTTTTACGCTCAGTGAACCTGAAATATTAAAAACAGCCAGTTTACATTTTAAGTTAATATGATTATTGTATTAAAGTGGAGCGGATTTTTCTTTTTTTACAGAGATTATGCACTCACACATGCATTTTCTCCCTTGCTCTCTCTTTATTCCGACATTGGAAGTTTGTCTGCGACAGTGAAATTGCTTGAAAAGTCATTTGGTGTAAGGCGGACACTACCCACAATATCAGTTCACACCTGGGGCCACTGGAGTGATAATTGGAAGGGTCCATTCTGGTCTGAAATGTCCACATCAGCTTTTTCTCTGAACAGGTCAAGGTGTTGCAGAGTTTGTTGAGAAACAGCAAATGCTTGACTAGACACAATTGCAGAGTGTCTTGTAGTGCTGTCAGTGTTGCACTCAATAGGTCGACAAAGAGAGCACATTCCTCAGTTGGTAAGTGGTAAGAAGATTGTGGGAAATTATTGGTCACTCCTTCTCTGTGGAGCAAGTCGACACCTAGAGCTAAAGGAAATGATAGGCCTAAGTTGTCAAGGACATACAACCGCAGAGCCAGCACACACTCCCATTTGACCACACTCAAAGCACTTTGCACTGCCCCACTAGCCAAAGCACATATTTGTCCTTGACAAGACTTTGAGTTCCCTGGTGCCTTCAACCCTTCAGAAAGAGAATATCTATGTGTTTCCTGTGTCTACTAATTCATGCAGTACCCAGGACATGATTTCAATAGGTAAGGCATCTGGCTGCCCTGGTTTAACCCTGGTGGTACGCTTCACCACTGTAGCAGGCATAGGATATATAAGGGTGTTCTTCTTAGCCTCAACGCTTGCCTGCAGGTAGATTGAATGAGTTCATCTCTGACATCTGACATTTCTCTTCCCAACCAAGGGCTGGAATTTCTCAGTATGGCTTGGACAACGTCTCTTTCAGGCACATCTTGTTTCCACATGAGGCAAACAGCACAATACTGACATGCCAAGACCCCAGGGCTTTCTTGTTGTTTTTCCTGGCCCCTTGTCACCTTTCATGAAGCTTCTTTCTCCCTCTCCTTTAAAAACCATCTGTCAGAAAGATCTCAGGAATACTTCTTTAAACTGTGCCCCTTTCAGCAGACTGCTAGTCCTTTGCAGTTCCCTCCAGAGGTTAAGATAAAACAGCAAACAACACAAGCTCACTCAGAAGCAGACAGCTAAAAACCTCTACAAACCTTTCCACAAAGGCCTTCATACATGGGAAAATCCACGCATATTGTGGTTTTAGAGTGAAATGGTGTAATGGTGTAGTATAGCTGAGAAAATGTGCTTAATCTCCCTTTAATGCATCACAGTCTCTCCTCCAAAGCTTGAATCTTTCATCTCGGACCCTGGTACCTCTGCTCCAAGTCTCCCAGTCTTCTGTCCAGGTACATACATGACGCAAATCTCCTCTTCCAGTGCTGCCAGTCTCATCTCATGCTTAACCCCAGCTGCTGGGGGGTTGCCTTCCCTGGTCATGCAAGAGGAGCTCAGATGGAAGTAGAGAAACATCTTATTCTTCTCCTCCATCCTCCTCTTCCTCAGACTGTGTATACAACCTACTGAGAGTCCTAAATGGTGTTACTGGGATTCAGCCTTGTAACAAGTGGACAAGATGTGAAGTCAAGTGGACGACTAGGCTCATCCAATGTTTCAAACTGAGCGGCTGCCATGCTGAACGCTGGTTTGAAGATGCTTTAAAACAACAGAAAAAAATCCCAAACTGCTCCCACATAGGGCACCAAATCCCACTTCGGCTACATACAACACAGAGACTGAGACGGTCTGGTCCTGTACGCTAAGCACAAAAATGAGCAATAGAGATAAATGTTGACATACCATTTTGCACCAATATAACTAACCCAAAATAACTAACCCAATATAACTAACCCAATATAACTAACCCAGTATAACTAACCCAGTATAACTAACCCAAAATAACTAACCCAAAATAACTAACCCAAAATAACTAACCCAATATAACTAACCCAATATAACTAACCCAGTATAACTAACCCAGTATAACTAACCCAAAATAACTAACCCAAAATAACTAACCCAATATAACTAACCCAATATAACTAACCCAAAATAACTAACCCAATATAACTAACCCAATATAACTAACCCAATATAACTAACCCTAACCCTAGACAGATCCAACAGTGTGATTTATGTTTCACAAGTTTAACAGAGACAATACAAGCAACCAATTAGCAACACAGAAGGACAACCTACAAGAAGGACAAAGGAGAAGATAAAAGTCCCTGCAGACTTTGAGTCTTACTGAAAATTTCAAACAGTCCATAAATAAATAAATAAATAAATAAATAAATAGATACATACATAGATAGATAGATAGATAGATACTCTTTTAGACGTGTAGAATCTTAGTCTTTCTGCAAACAAACCAGATGTTTTGAAACAGTTCAAAATTCTCAGCACATTTAAGAACACAATAAGGGTACTTACTGTACGAAAAGAGAGTTCCTCAAACAAAGTTGCGCAACTTGGATTCACAACAGCAACAAACTGTTTGAGCCATCATGCTTCTTATCTACTTCAGCACCATTTTATAAGCTAGTATAAAAGCATTAGATGCAGTACCTCCCCCTAGAAGCCTGGATGTATTGAAAACTACACTTCATCATCACTGATTTTAAAACTTGTAAACACTGGGACAGAAGTAAAACAATTATTTATCACCACCTATGGAAAAATAGCTAGAAATATGATGAATAATCATAACGTTCTTACAACAATCTCAGTTACTGAGATCTACAGTTACTGTGTAATTCTCTCTCTCTCTCTCTCTCTCTCTCTCTCTCTCTCCCAGTGTGACTCTGCTCATGTGTATAGTAATATATCAGAACTGGCCATGACCTCTGACCCCACACAGAGAAAAGGATCAGATAATCAGGATGGCGTTCACTACTCCAGCGTTCAGTTCAAGCGCTTTCACAAGCAGGAAGAAGCTCCGCCCTCCACTTCCACACTTCCGCTTTACGTCATAGAGGACCAGGATGTTCAGTATGCAGCTGTGAACTTCAGCAGAGAGAGTGCTGCCCCCCAGTGAGGAAACCCCTTCATTACATCTACTCTGACCAACCACTGTGTGCAGAGGGGAAATTATAAATTGCCTTTTATTTTCCTCTTAATTAAATCTACTTACTTTTATTCACTTTAAAAACAAATAAAAGTTAATAGTCTAAAAGCAGCTTTTTGTCATGAACTACCAGACTTCAGATTTTTCAGACTTCAACCGAAAATATTTGTCACATCTAAAATAATGACAACTTCCATTGCTTCCTTTTAATGCTTTACTTTAAGTAATTTGAAGCTGGCATCATCAATTCTCAAGACCAGTTTTTGTCCATATGAACCTCAACATAGTCCAAAACGTAAATTTGGTTAGAACTAAAAATATCCAAAACATTGTTTTCCAATAAAAATAAAATCACATAATTTGGATATTTAATAAAGTTTTTTAAACAGAAGAACAGGCCTGATGTAGCATGCATTTAAAAAGGGTATGAGGACACATTAGCAACAGGTACCATGTTCTTTTAGACATAAGGCATTTCAGCCCTTCCCTTCTTCACTGAAATGCAATACAGTTTTCTTCTTAAGACTCTTTTTTGACCACAGCTACATTTCTGCTAGCACTCCAATGGGATTTTGACAGTGTTACGTTAGCGTCAAGCCAACTGTGGTGTACATTCACTGGTAACTGTAGCTTAAGCACTGACATCTGACATTCTAACTTAAGAGTTCGTTAGCTGTTCAACCAAGACTAAATTGTTAAACAAAACATTTTTGTTTGCTATGTTTTCACACCATTAGTAACAAACAAAACACACTTTTCCCATGCTACAACTTCTTCAGAGAATGCTGTGGCCTCAGGTAGTGAAACGGAATCAGCACAACATCAGCCCAAGTGTAGAATATTTACAAGACAAAAATATTTTCGAATAGAATTTAGATAAAATAATATCAGCTACAGACCAACCATTCCAGCATGAGCAAGTGTCCATAGATCTCTCAGCGTAGATCTTCAACTCCAAACAAAAAAGTCCCAAATTCCAACTTTCAACTCAACAAGAATACAAAATGAACTAATATAGAAATATGAAGAAAAATCCAAATAGCTTATACACTATATGGTCAAAAGTATGTGGACACCTGACCATCACACCTATAGGAGCTTGTTGGCTGTCCCATTCCAAATTCATGGGCATTAATATGGAGTTGGTCCCCCTTTGCAGCTACAACAGCCTCCACTCTTCTGGGAAGCTTTCCACAAGACTTGAGTGTGTCTGTGGGAATTTGAGCCCAATAAATCAAAATCCCACAGACTCCCATTGGCTGCTGACACAAAGCTGGAAGCAGATAACTGTGTAAAATGTCTTTGTGCTGTAGCATCAACATCACCCTTCACTGGAACTAAGGGGCCCAAACCCTGAAAAGCAATAACTGAATTGAAACTGACCTCAATAATTAGGAGGGCTGTCCACATACTTTTGGGCATATAGTGTATGTCTAATGGAAAGAAAACTCTGCATAGCAAAAACACTAAAAAATGATCTTACCAGTTCCCAGGTGAGCTCAGAACAGGTGAAATCATACATGTGATCCACAAGTGGAATTGATCCATATTCCCCCAAAAAGACATGTTTTCATGCTGGCAGATAATCCCTAATGTGAAAAATGCCCCTTCAGAGCTCAATGTGCTCCCCTGTAGATGTAACAACCAACAAACAATGCTGTGCTCTTCTTTCCCTGCTTTTTCTAACACAGGAAGTTGAGAAAGTAAAGGAAGTGCTAAAATAAGCCCCTCCAGCAGAGGGCATTACTAAGTAAAGAGGGCATCATTAAGTAAAATAAGCATCAAAGATTACAAAACAGAAAATACTTCCTACAGCATTATAGTTTATTATAACTGCCTACAGAGTTAGACAAGGTAGTTTCAACTTAACCACATGATGAGCTCAGTTCAGTGCTGCTCGTTTAAACCTGCTGCCAGAGAAGATACCGCATGTGCACATCACCGTTAGCAACAGTAGAATTATTTTGCATTTTATTGTTTAACAAAGTAGCTTTAAAAAAAAAAAAAGAAAAAAAAACATTCATAGAAATCTCAGAATTTCCATCGTTCTTAGATTATGTCCTTTACAAACCAAATAAACACAAAACAGCATTGTTACATCATATACTGTAATTTAGAGCTGCAAGGTCTTGCTGGTGTGGGTCCATGCCAGTTTCCTTTCTTTCAATGCTATTATGATAGAGATTCAACAGTAAGCTACTAATAGCTCTAGATAAAGTTTTGTTGGCTCCCCCTTGTGGAGAATATTGACATTTAGACAGAAGCACAAATTTCGTGCTTTCTCAAAATGAATTGCAAAGAAAGAAAGTGAATGTTGTGTAGATTGTTGTATAGATGATGTCACTAATCACACACACCACAAACTAACCCACAGAATTTTTGCTTTTGTATTTTATTCTTCAAAGTTTTATGGCTCAGGAAAACATTCCGCTGCTGTATTGTCTATGTGCTTGTACGGTCAAAAAAATGGCTGCTTTTGACTGTTAATTTTTGGGTAAAATGACAGTGAATACTGAGACAGTTTAACTAGATCACACTAAAATGACTAACAGGGTCCAGCAATGCTGATAAAGGTCAGTAAACTCTCTCACAATTATTTGGAGTAAGAAGCACAAACATACTAAATATCACTGTAATGTTCCTCCTTTAAGCAGGAAAGTAAAAGAAACAGGGTTCTGAAATAAATGTTTAGAACTCAGTAAAATCACAGTAGGAATCACTGCTGTCTTCTACAGGCCGGACTCAGTTTAGTTTATCACTAGTGAACAGGTAACAGCTATGTAAAACTAATTTATTCATACGTTTTATGTCATATAACTATGATAATTGCACAGTACTGTGGAGTTTGTACTACATACTTACACAGCTAATACCTAGAACCTGTTGGACATTACAGTGTGTTTTTGTGAACTTATGTTACCCAAAATATTTACCTAATATTTTGGTGTTTGTACTTCTTACTTATCTGGTTAATACCTAGAACGTAGGAGACTGTAAAAGAAAGCATCACCAAATTTCCCTAGTAAGGTTTTAGAAAGGATTATTTGCATGATGCTGTAGATAAACCATTTTTGCTTTCCTTAAGAACCTTTCAGTGGGTGGTTCTTTAGAGAAATAGAATGGTTCTTTTATGGCAGGGTTCACCAATTGTATCCACATGGGGGCGGTGTGGGTGAAGGTTATCATGTCAACAAAGCAGGAGCTCACTTTATACAACTAATGAGCTCGCTCCCATACCGGCCCCTCATGGTGTCTCTCAAAGAACCATTTCTGGAACCCTTATTTTAAATGAATGGAGATTTAAAATGATTTGAATGCAACCAGCAGATGGCACAATTCTGCACTTTCCCTCAACAGTCTTAAAAAGATGGTTCTTCAAGGGTTCTTTAGTAAAAACAAAAGGTTCTATGTAGGACCATCAACACTCAAAAAACTCTTTTTGAAAAGGGTTCTATATAACACCAAAAAACATTCTTCTATTGTTACAAGCTTGACATTGTCACAATATCAGAGCCTTTATGGTGCTATCTAGAACCTGTACAGCATGTTCATCAATCTGTTCAAGGTTCTATATACAAACATTTGCTTTAGAAGAACCATCTTTTTAAGGGGGCACTGTTATGGGACGGCAGGGAGGCGGACCCAAGTGCAGAGAGGAAAACCCGTGAGAAAGGGTCTTAAATGAATTAATCAGGTGAATGAGTGTGAAGGGAGTGATTCTGCATGTTAGGGTTGAGGTGACTCAGAGCCAGCTGATGTACTGATAGGCGGTCCGAGGAGTTACCACTGCGCCACTGGGAAGCACAGGTGAAAATGGGAAAAACACCTCAATGAATAAGAAAAAAAAAATGGCGGGAAAGGGCAGACAAAGGGGACGCTGAAAACATCATGCTCAAACAAAGGCTGAGATAGAAAAGTAAATTAAAAGATAATCAGAAAACAAAAGAGACTTCCTCTGTGTTCATGAGAAGAAGATCAGCTTTACGTTTCACCTGTTTGTTCTTGGTGGAACAAACACTTTGTTTGGCTTGGAGTCGTTTGTTTAAGCCCTCTTTTTGTCTTTTAAGTTGCTTTGGGACAATTTATTCCTTTTTAGCCCTCATTTTCTTCTTTCTGTTGTTTCGGGGCAATTTCTCTTTTTTCCCAGCCCTCTTCTCTTTTCATCTAAATAACCACCTGGGCTACATACCATACCATACCAGTCACCCCTCTACAAAGCTGTGACAAAGGGCTGCTGTTTGCCACAGCCTTAAGTAGAGGAGTCCACAGGTGTGCCAGGTTGGGCCTAATCAGCCCGAGGGCTTCTGGGAATTGGAGTTCCATGAACTTGTGGCGCCTCACCACCATCACCCTCTGCTGGCAGCCAGCGGCACAGGCTGGACCCTTACAGGTACATAATCTCAAAGCTGCCTTGTATGTGTGACGTGAATGTGTGGGCGACTGGATGAGACTCTGAGTGAGGTGTGGGCCAAAGAGTATTTTCTCAGTGAAAATTTGGCCCCTGATCAAATCTCCTTTCATGATCCCTGTGTTTGCTTTTTCTTAAAGTCCACAGGCCTCTGGGTGCAGAAGCAGATGAGGATCCATCTCAGACCTACAGCCAGATTCAGAAATGCATATCCCCAACATAAACAACATGAAGCACTCACTGTGGAGAGGGTCTGGATCCTGGATGGAGATTTAGATGTTCTGTTCTAGATGTGCACTTCAATAATCACCACTTCATCCAAATCAGTCAGGAGAAAGACATAGAGAACTCTCTGATAGCAGAATGTTTATATTAATTATTGCTATTACTGCCAAAAAAACATCATATTTCTACAATGGTCCCTTCATAGGAGAAGAAAAGCACTGCAACAATGATTTTACCACGGAATTTTGGACTATTTCTGTTGGTCCATTCATCCAGAAATGTTCAAAAACTGTTTTGATAATGATAGAATCCTTTGATAATGATAGAATCCTGGTAATGTATTAGTATTGCATTGATGGTGTTTATAAG